ATGATGCCTGATAATGTTATTGAAAACCAAGATACTCAACGCCAGGCAAGGCAGACGACGACGAGGAAGAAAGGAGGACACACGCTAGAACAACTGGGAAAAGCTATGACGTGAGCTTCTAGCCGTTATGACGAGGTGAGGTGCTGCTCAGCATCTGCATGTACGTGGAAACATACTCGTTATAACAAGCTCCTCTCAGAGACGGATGCAGGGTGATTGTGGCTTCCGCTTTAGTGATAACGATGGTAAGCCATCTGCGGAAAAATCCCATTCAATGCATTTCAAATGAATATGCAACAATACATTAGTAGACAAGCAATACAAATCATGCAACTAGCTATACCCAAGAACCCGGAACGCCTAACACTTAATAAAGCCCATATCAACGTGGAGTCTCCAATTGTGCTTCGCACTGTGTAACCCTTTTAGCATTGACCCCTTGCTGATAGCCCCACGTGCAACAATGCTCCACCACATTTCACATGGATAGTCCTATGTGGCGAAACCCTTCCACGTGGCAACGATGGCACTCAGCATGATCTCATGTGCCTCCTCATCCGTCTGTGTCACACATGAGATGGATTGACAGGCATCGCATGGGATGGTAAGGCATGGCATTGGGATCGCATGGCATCACATGAACATGTAAAATGCATTCACCCATAACGAAACATACACAGGAGGCACATGCACAGGCACATGAACAAGAAGTTGCATAAGGAAATACAAGAAAGCAACTGGAGAGGGAGCAAGAAAACAAGTATGCCTCATGCATGGACACGTGCACACAAACTAAGCAAAGGAAAACAGCAGATTAAGGCCAGGAAAGGATCGAAATGGCTGATCAGTATTATACTCCACAGACTAGCCCCCAAGAACAATCATCCCCCCTACTCCATCATTACCCTCCTGTAACTGCCCCCCACACACACCTCGCACTGCATGCGAATCAAAGCAAAGCTCGGCAAACTCCACCCCCAAAGCTGCCAGCTGCACTCTCCAGCTCCCTCTCTCACACTGCCTTTTGAATCGCCTCCACCCTCCCGTCTCTGTCCTTGCCATCCCCACTTACACATGCAGCCCCTTCCCCTTCCACACTCACCTCGCACTGCATGCGAATCGAAGCGAAGCTCGGCAGGCTCCACCCCCACAGCTGCCGACTGATCTTCACCGCCCTCTCCCTCAGCTCCTCCCCCATTCCTCCAATCCCCTGCCGATTGCACATACAGCAGCAACCTCGCAATAAACCTCACGTTATCCGTGTGCCTGGGGCCATCTATGAACACCCCGCGCGGCCATCCTTGTCGCTACAGCCTTAACATCTCTGCTACTTCTTTTTCTTTCGGGCAGACCACCGCTACAACCTGGTCGATCCACGCGCTACAGCCGATGAGCATGCGAGCGCGAGATGCCTGCCGGCAGAGGCTTGGGGGAAGAGGCGGGGCGGGGGGATTGCAGGTTTGTGAGAGGGGGTGCGCGGGAGGAGGAGGAGGACGAGGGGGCAGGAGGCGGAGGCAGGGGAGGAGGAAAGCGGAGGTTTCTTGGCAGTGGAGGGGGTAGATTGGGTGGTTTTAGCGGCCACTTAGCTGAGGACTCAGCGGAAGAGGCAGTAGCAGGATGTGGATTGCGAGTGGGATTGTGCAGGGGAGAGGGCGGAGGAGGAGGAGGAGCGGGAGTGGGATCCGGACTGAGACTGGCCTTGGGATTTGAAGGTGGAAGAGGGGGAAGAGGAGGCGGGAGGCGGAAGAAGAGGAGGAGCGGCATGGTGGCGGTGGAGGTGTTGGCGTGGGTCAGCGGCCGAGGCAAAGGAGATGAGGAGTCCCTCGAGACCCCAGTCGAAGAGCTCGAGCAGGAAGGGGTCTGGCGGGGTAGCGTCCTGCAGAATGGCCTGCAGTTTGTGAGGGAGGTGAAGAGGGGGAAGAGAAGGAGAGCGGGGGAAAGGGACAGCAAGAGGCGAAGGAGATGAGGAGACCTTCTAGGCCCCAGTCGAAGAGCTCGAGCAGGAAGGGGTCTGGCGGAGCGGAGTCCTGCAGAATGGCCTGCAGTAGGGGGGAAGGAAGGGGCCAAGGGGAGGGGAGAAGAGGGGTGGAGGTGTGGGCAAGAGTCAGAGGCCGAGGCGACAGAGATGAGAAGACCCTCTGGGCCCCAGTCGAAGAGCTCCAGCAGGAAGGGAACTGGCGGGAACAGTAAAATGACGGAGATGGAAGGAAATGGAAGGAGATGGAACAAACCTTGAAGCTTCCTCTGACAGCCTTCCCCCACATGGGCACCAGCGCACGGTGCTCGCGCCTCTCCTCCTCCAGCAGGCTGCCAATCGCCTTCCACTGCGCCCAACCCACCTCCACCTCTGGATACTCCACCTCCCTCGCCCACCTCGCCACCGCCTCCTCCTTCCTAGCAGCCCTCTCCCTCCTCCTCTCCGCCTTTCTCTCCCTCCGCTCCTCCTCTGCCCGCTCTGCTGCACTCGCCCCGCTGCGAGCCCCCATTCCCGCTGCCGACCTTGACGATTTCATCGCTTTCCCCCGGCTTTCCGGGTCCTTCTGGGACGACCACTGACAGCCGGTGCCGTGCCTTGGCACTTAACGACCTGCTGCCGTCCCCCCCTCTTCCTTCCCCTCCTCTGCCTTCTTCTCCTCTCCCATTTGCCCTCCCTCTTCATTCTCCCCCTCCTCCTCTGCCTCTTCTTGGATCCTCCCACACCTCTCTCCTACCCCGCTCTCCCTCTCCCTCACACGGCCACTGCCCTTCCCGTCATCCCCACTCCCTCTCTCCTCATCACTCCCCGCGCTCTCCTCGCTCTCCTCGCTCTCCCCACTCTCCAAGCCATGCATCAGCAGCGGTTCAATAGACACGCGCATAATCACCTTCGCACACAGTAACTTCGTCTCTTGCAACTCCTCCTCTCCAACTCCCCACCTCCCCTCCCTCACTCCTTCCTCCTCCTCATCCTCCTCCTCTCCCTCCTCTCTCTCCACCTCTTGCTCATCTTCGTCCCCTGGCAGTTTAAATAAAGTACTTAGCTCCAAAAACCCATTAGCCAATTCATAAGCCCATGGATACTCTAATATCCGCTTCCCCAGTTTTCTCCATCTCCTCCTCCTCTCCCTCCTCCCTCTCCTTCCTTCTCGCAGCACCACCCACACTACTCATCCCCCACACCCCCTCCCTCTCCCTCTCCCTCTCCCTCGCCCATTCCTTACCCTGGATTGGCTCCAGCAGTGCCGAACCAAACACCGAAGCAAACTCCCTCCTTGCCGAGCCTGTCCGTGCCCGGAGCAACGCGAACCTAGCAGCTGCTAATAGCCTAGCAATCCGCTTCGGAACAGGTTCGGCACCATTGGGAACCAGAGCCAGCCGAACCGTCTCCCTCACCCCCTCAGGATCATCATACGTCGAAGCGCAGGCTCGGATGCGGATCCGAACCGAAGCCTCGCCGAGCCTGAGCTCCTCGGACCGGTCTGCCAGCAGCCAGAGGTCGTCTGGGGCTAGGTTCGGCAACCGAGCCGCCTCGGTAGCTATGAGGAGAACCAACAGCCCCGGACCTCCAGCCGAGGAAGACACCAACAACGCCGTCTAATTGCCGAAGCTTAGGCGGGCTGGCAGATTGCGGGAGGGGCACTAAGAGGGGGTGACTATACTGAAGGTCACTGTCGAAAATCCATACTGGGTGTTCGGCTGGAGCTGGTGGTGGTAACAGCAGCAGCAGGCATGTGTGCACCGAATGCACCCATAATGCTGGATGATGATTGGAGGATGGAGCGGAGAACTGCCAGCTCAGCAAGCTCGACCAATGGGGCAGGGCCAAACCCGTCCCCTCCACCAGCAGCAGCAGCTGATGCAGCGGCAGCAGCGTCGAACCGGGCTTTGGACGGCGGAGGCACGACGGGAATCGGGCAGGCGCTCACGAAACTTCTCTGCCTGCGATGCTTTTTTTTTTCTGCCCGGACGGGCTGCTAGGAACCATAGAATCTCCCCCCATGCCATGATGATTATTCCCCTGAACATTCCCCTGATTCGGATCCTCCCCAAGCAGTGCTACCTGCCAAGCAGCTTCCTCCAGCCCCCCTCCCACCTCACCCAACCACTCTCCACCGCCACTCACCGCGCTCCCCGTCCGGCCCTCTCCTATCCCCCCCTGCACGTCGCCCCCCATTCCCCACTGCGACCGCCTGTTGCTGGTAGGGGAATAACCCATGGCTCCTCGAGGGGAATAACCTATCATTCCCGCACCAGTGGACCCAGAGAAACCCATAGCACTGCCACCAGCAGAGCCAGCAAGAAGAGCAGCAAACTCCTCATCGCCCCCAAACGACTTGATAAACGACACTTGCCCCGTTGGGGTAGGCGCAGCCACAGCATCCCCATACCCCCCATATCCCGCATACCCCGCATTCCCCCCATACCCACCATAACCAGCCGCGTAGCTCGCGCCCGGCCTGTTTCCTAATCTGGCACTTGAGAGCAACCGCATCAACCATGTCTAGTAGGCACTGCAGCACAAACTCTCGACACTCCTGCGCCTCACTCGCGTTCTCCCATTCCGCCACTGCCCCCTCCCGTGGTCGTCGACCCCACCCCGTCCCCACACCCGCTCCTCCCCCCCCCCCTGCTCCCCCCAGCTCTACTCCCCCCGCCGGTTCGGCTTCCCCCTGTTCTGCTCCCCCCCGGGGCCAAACCCCCCCAGGCGTTCTGCTCCCAGGCCCTGTTCCGTTGGTCCACCCACTGGCCATACTCCCAGGACTAAGCGACTCTTCATCCTCATCCTCCGAATCCTCCTCCTCTTCGTCTGAATCCAAGCCTCCGTGCTCGGCTCGGCCGCCGGGCCTGCCGTGCCGAGCCTCCAGCTTCTTGCCGTACCGAGCCTCCCAGTCCTGCTTCCCGAGCCTGTCCAGCAGCCGGAGCACACAGACAGCTGCGGTGGCAGGCTGGTGGCCCGCCGCAGCTGCTGCCAAGCCTAACAACCGAACCACATCCACGTGGAGCGGCGCTGGGTTCGGAACTGGCTCCTCTGCCATCACCGAGCCTCCCGGCCCTGCAACCATGATTCCCGCTACCAAGCCAGGAGCCAAGCTGGCAGGTCCGGCCGAACCAAGCCCCAGGGCAGCACCACTTTCAGAGGATATCCCCATTCTACCCATCATATTTGTAATCATATCCGACTCTCTAACACCAACTCCCACACTGAAAGTGCTAACAGTACTTATAGTACTCACTGTGCTGATACTACTCCCAGGCCCTCCCCATAACCCACTAGCGTCAGTACTACTGCTGCTACTGCTGGCACTGCTGCTACTGCTGCTGCTCGCCCCATCTGCTCCCGCTGCAGCAGCACTAGTGTAACCATTGCCACTCCCTGTGCGGATCCCATACCCACCACCGGTGCTGCTCAACACAGCAGCTTCGGCACAAAACCTACTGCTTCCGAGCCTCCCGATGTTGCTTCGGCTCTTGCGAAACTCCCGACCATCCTTTGCCAAACCTCCCAGCCTCGCTTCCTCCTGGCCAATCGCACCGGACCCCACCCCTTGAGATGCCTCCGCACTCCCTATCATCCCTCCCCCTGCTTCTCCTCCTCTGCCCCCCGCTGCAACGCCCCTTGCTCGTGCTGCCGCAGTCATAGGCCCAGGGGTTGCTACAGTAATCTGCCGCCCACTGGAAGCTTCTAGAATCTCTTCCAGCAGTTTGTCTTGTAGCTGCCGCCCCGCCTCGGCCCGTAACGTAGCTTCGAACGCCGAGCCTACCACCGAAGCACCACCCAGACCTGAGCCCTCGGTATGGTAATCCTCGTTATAGTGATACCCATTCATCATTGTCACATCCTTATCTTCTGCACCTGCAGGGTCATCAATCTCTAAAGGTTCAACAATCGTCACCATACGCTCTCGCTTTGGTCGGCTTCCTTCATCCGTTTCAGTCTCAACGTCGACACTGTTCACAATGCTGTCATTTACACCTGAGGAAAATCCTAATATCTTCTCCTCCTCCCCTAAATCAAGATCCCCAAATTCCTCTTCCTCTTGTATCGCCTCCACCCCACCCCACAGCCCCATCCCTCCCCCCCCTCCCCCTCTCCCCTTCCCCACTCCAATCACTCCCTCCATCCTTCCCACCTCCCCCGTCCGCTCCTCCCCCGTTACTATCACCATCACTCAAATCAACAGAGAAAAAGTTCCCCACATCTACAGTATCGCTTTGCCCTATCGAATCAAGCGACGACAATAGGTGCTTCCCTCCCCGCCCAGCCCCCCCATCCCCTATCACCCCTCCCCCACCCCCTCCTTCCCTAAACGACCTCCCTCCATCTTTCAACGACCCTTCCTTTAATGAGCGTTCTCTAAACGAGCGCCCGCGTTCCTTCATCGACCTAGCCTCTCTTAAAGACCGGCTCTTGCTCATCGCCCTGCTTCCCGAGCGACTCAACCCTCTTCTTTCCGCGCAGCTTCCCGTGTTCTCCACGTGACTTGTGCTCCTAAAGCCCCCGTCCCCGCCTCTTCCGCCGCCTATCCCGCTGTCACCCCCACCAAACGTTGCGTTACGGAAGCCCCCATTGCCCCCTCCGCTGATCCCCCCCGCCGCATCATGATTCCCGAATCCTGGAACAAAACTTTCCTCCTTGACCGGACTCCAGATTCCCACGTTCCCCCCGCCTGCTCCCCCTCCCCCGACGGGGGACTCCAGCCCCAGCCCGCCATGGCCCTCGAGCCCGCTTCCGCCGCCGCTGCCCCTTCCGCCTCCGCCCACTCCCCCGCCAGTGCCAACCATTTCGGCTCCGCCTGCCCCGTGCTGCACAGGCGGCTTCCCCCACTCCTTCCAAAACTCCACCCACATAGCCAGCCCCAGTACAAACACTTCTTCTACTTGTAACGGATCCAACCCTACCGGAGGCAACGGGCCCACGTGTGCTAGGGTTTGCTCGGACGCGCCTGTTACCCCGAAAGCCAGCGCACTCAACCCCGCGAAATCAAACCCCCCGGTAGCATTCTCCACTTCCCCTTCCCCCCGCGCCTTCCTCCGCGCGCGCCGTCGCGCCTCCGCGGCCGCTACAGCTGCGGCGGCGGCTGTAGCGGCTACAGATGCGGAGACCGTCTGAATAGTCGCCACGAGCCAATCGTATTCCGCGCGGGCTAGGCGCAAAAGCGCCGCTTCTAGAACCTCCTGTGCCTCCCGCGACGTCACCTCCCCCGCCCGCTCCACCGCCAATGCCACCAATCGCCGCGTGGATAGGCGCTTCAGCGGCCCTTGCGGTACCATCTGGTCCTGCTGGAGCGCTGCGGGCGCCGGCGGCGCCGGGGGTCGCGGCGGGAGTCCCGCTCCGCCGCTAAGGTAGCTGCTTCCGGTGGTGGCGAGGACAGGTGCGGGAGAGTGAGAGTCAGGAAGGCGGAAGGGGGAAGGGGAAGCGGAGGCGGCGGATGGGGAGGTGGGGAAATCCGGGAAAGGGGAGGGCGTGGCGTTATACGAGGAAGGCAGCGGAGAGTTCTGCTGGAGATCTGAAGAATAGTCGTCGCCGTCTTTGTTGTCGCTATCTGCGTCGCGGTTCTCGTCGTGGTCTTGCTCGTCAGCAGCCGAGAGATCTGACGTGGCGACGACCGCGGCGCTGGAGATCTTCTCGACGTATTGCGTGAGGAGATTAGAGACCGCATCGTGGACCCAGTCCTCCTCGGTTAGGAGATTTTCCAAGCTTGCAAGCGAGGCTCGGGCTGATTCCGATTCGTTCAGATGAGGCGAGGAAGGTTGATTGAGGGTTGGAAATGAGGGTGCACCGAGATTCGCTGGTATTGCGAAGTCCGAGTAGGGCCATTCTCCCGCTGTCGAATTCGCCTGACCCATAGCGAATTCGAGGAACGCAGGACGAAAATCAACCGCTACAGCAATTAAGAGCAAGTTCGAAGAAAGGCGTCGTCTTGATAGGTAGGAGGCCACCTCATAGTTCCCAAAAAAGAAGGGTGGCACGAGAATGATGCTAACAGCCGGAGGCTACACAACCAGCTGCTGGAAAGGCTACATAAGAACTACTTCACCGAACAGGCAAATCGGCGGTAGCAAGAGAGAAATACTATCAGTCGTAGCATACAGAACCAGCAGCTAGAAATGCTTCACAGTATGGCACGTGCGTGGTTTAAGATTCGACAATGACAAGGAGAAAAGGCATGAGCAGGGTGTAAAATACCTGCTTGCTAACGCACAGGCTCCTCCGTACATATCGCAATTCTGAATGGAAGAGCAAAAACTACAACGGTTGAGTTGGGGTGGCTGGATGCATCTGTTGGGTTTGCCTTGCCATGCCGAAGTTCTAGGGATTGCCGTGCAGCTCTTCCTTACCATCCGTGACGGAGACAGTTACATCGTCCGTCAAGTTGCTGTCCCAATTTAGCCTGAGCAGCAAGGAGCCACACGATTTGTTTCGTTCCGTCAACTCTGCCATCGGGCGATGCGGGGATTCTGGCGCGCTTACGGAGGCGAAGCACGAGCCCTTCTGACAAGAATGACATCCCGCCCTTTGGGCAAGAACAAATCGGGTTGGTCAATAGTATTCTTGTGCGAAGTCAAGTACAGTATATTCCCGTTCAGTTACAGACTCGCCGAGTTCGTCAGGCAAAAAAACCCACTCGGGCAGGTCTGCGGCTTGCGCAACCAACAATGAGCGCCGAGCCAATGAATCGGGGTGCGCGGAAACACCAGGGTGGGAAACGGGGACATCCCTGGTGGTGTCTATGTGTAACCATTCAGTACATACCATTTTCTGCCATGCATTCATGGTGTAGCACCATTCTGTCCCCGTTTGCCGCAGCACAGGGAGTTCGGCATGGCATTGGATACCTCGAATCCTGTATGTTCTGAGTGGGTGCGCGGAAACTCGCGTGCGCGGAAGGCCCAACAGCACGCACAGCAGGGGAAGCTCGAGGGCTGATCACCGCGGGGAAACCCCAAGCGCTCAGCAGCACACACCAGGGGGAGCTCGAGGGCAGCAGACTTGAGGCATGCCTGACCCAAGTGAAATAGCTACGATAGGCAGCAACAACTCTGGTAACTCTGTTGTAACCAGCTCAGGAATCGCATCCAGACCGTTGAATTAGCTGTTTTTTTTAGCGAACCAAAACCACCAAGTGATACATAAAGGTAGGCAACTGGAACACAATCCCAATGGCCTTTCTTGCTGTGTTCAACACCTTTGTCCTTTATAAGGCCTCAAGCCATTTACGTCCTCTGTTCGGTCCTAACGCTGTTTAGGTCTTGTCGTGGCTCCAAGCTGCCTGGCTGTACGGAACGACTGCGTAGCTGCGTAGGGAACGCATGTTCAGTTAGGCCGTAGACGCGATACGGATGCGTTTCCTAAAAGAGCGAGCCTCGTTGCAGTCGAGGCAGTTAAAAGTCTCCGTCCTCGTGCACTTATTTTGATTAACTAGCAAATACTTTATATTTCCACAGTTCACTTCTGGTTCTTAAGATTAATCCTTTCGTCAAGAGCTTAGGGTTTAGTTGAAAGAGCTAAGATGGAAATGGAGGACGGGGAACCGCCACGTATCGCACCTGCTTACACTCCGTGCGCTTTCGAAGGGGAGTCGCCTGGGCCCCGGTGCGGTCACACGCTTACCGCCGTCGCGCCTGTCGGAGAGCCTGGCAGCGCGAACTACATCGGTCCGCGACTAATCCTATTTGGTGGAGCGACGGCGTTGGAGGGAGGCGCAGGTCCCGCGGCAGGAGCAGCAGCCGGAATACGTAAGTCAGGACGCGCGGCGAGGACCCTCGTTACGTGGCTGCTGGATCGGTTTTAAGCTGAAACTTCGTCAAAGACCAAGATAGTGTTAGGCAATTTCGCGACGGTGTCCTATTTCATTAAGGTTAACATTTACTAGCATAGAAAATGCTGGTTACCGATCGTGCCTTGGAATGAGCCTACGCTCGCTTGTAACAAGCGCTTCTTCCTATTTTTTAATGATCCCATCCTTCTTAGTCACCAACTCGCACACTCACTGCCGGCCTGTGACGGCCAAGCTCTCTCCTTTCTTCCCAGTGCGTCCTAGTTTTCCAGATTCTTCAGTTTATTTTCGCGTATTCTCTTCAGGAGCTGCTGCTGAGTGTGCTGTTTATGCGTCACCGCTAGGCGTGGGAAGCAGCTTGACTCGACTCAAGTGCTCTCATTATAATAAACGATTCGCCCTTCGAGTTTCCGCGCTCTTTTGCTGCTTCCTTTTCTTCCGTCGGTTTTTCAGGACTGGCCGGAGCCACGGCGGACGTGCATTGCTTCGACGTCAACTCGCGGACATGGAACAAGTGAGTGAGCGCTTCCGCTCGGTTTGGCGCGGTTTGCTTGGGAGTTACTGATTGTTGATTACGCTTCGTCTGTACCGGGAAATCAGAGGAAAAATAAACACAACGTCAAATTTAGAACACCAGATGGTGCAACGGAGGCCCATCCGCGCAGTTCATCTGTCCAGCACATGCGCATATTTTTCTCACGTTATCAGTATGTTAGGGTTGTTAACTGCCGTACTTAACTACCTACCTAGCATCTCTTCCGCGTTTCCCTTCTCCCCCCAGGCTAATACCGGGCAGGCGAGCCTCCTTCTGCGGGCCTCCTTCCCCGCAAGCAGCACATGCACTTTTAAGGCGCCTAAAACCATTTCCCTTATCCTTCCAGGCTCTCTCCGGTGGGTGAGCCTCCCTCCCCGCGAGCGGCGCATGCGGCGACGGCGGTGGGCACGATGGTGGTGATTCAGGGCGGCATTGGGCCGGCAGGCCTCGCCACTGACGACCTGCACGTGCTGGACCTCACTCAGGCTCGACCCAAGTGGCATAGGTGCGCCTTGTAATGTTGTAATTGTTGTGCTTTTGTGATATCGTGCTGCGCGCAAGCACAAGAGCAGCATTGAGAGCATCAGCTTTCACACAGGATTGTGTTTGGTTGAGGGCCGTTTCTTATGTTGTTCCTGTTGTGGTGGGTGGTGTGGCGTGTGCTTGTAACGAGCAGAGTGGTGGTGCAAGGAGCGGGCCCCGGGCCTCGATATGGTCACGTCATGGCGCTCGTGGGGCAGCGCTTCCTGCTCTCCATCAGCGGAAACGACGGTGAGAGGGATGCGCAGGGCCTTAGCTGTTTTTGCTACAGCCGGAGGTGTGATTTGGCGCTCGTGAGGCCGTGCTTCCAGTGTTCCAAAGGGATGGGGAATGGGATGGGGAATGGGATGGGTAGTGCTGGTGGTGTTGAAGCGCCTGCAGGGTCTAAGACGCTACTTGCTTGTTCTACTGTATCAGCTGTGGTGTGTTGAACCTCCTAAATTTTCTTTTGTGTGTGTGTGGATCATTCTTTCGCTCTGCAGGCAATCGGCCGCTGTTGGACGTGTGGTCGCTGGACACGGCAGCGAAGCCGTACGAGTGGAAGAAGCTGGACCCCGAGGGCGAGGGGCCGCCGCCCTGCATGTACCTTTGAGTCAACCCAACACCTCCTCTGACCTCACCTCTTCCCCCTTTCCCCCAACTCCTCCTTCCCCCTTCCCCCTGCAGGCAAGCGGCCGTTGTCAGACGTGTGGTCGCTGGACACGGCAGCAAAGCCGTACGAGTGGAAGAAGCTGGACCCGGAAGGGGAGGGGCCGCCGCCCTGCATGTATGCCACTGCCAGCGCCAGGCACGACGGGCTGCTGCTGCTGTGCGGCGGCAGAGACGGCAGCAGCGTGGTGAGTTGTGTTGCGCGTGGCATGAGAGCAGTGGTGAGCTCCTGAGTGGACCCACACACCCCTTTCTTTCTCTAATCCCTACTCTTTTGTGCTTTCTCTGTTCCCTCCCAATGCGTCTCTCTGTAAAAATCGCCCTGCTACTTCCGCCTCCCCCTCCCCCTTTCCCTTCCCCTATTCCACTCCATATCACTCCAGCCTCTACCCGGGGCGTTTGGCTTGGCGCGTCATCGGGATGGGCGGTGGGAGTGGGCTGTGGCGCCCGGCGTGTCCCCATCGGCGCGCTACCAACACGCTGCTGTGAGTTTATCCATACCGTGCTTGAGTTACTCTCTACTACCAGCCACTACCTGGGGCATTTGGCTTGGCTCGGCATCGGGATGGGCGGTGGGAGTGGCCTGTGGCGCCCGGCGTGTCCCCTTCTGCTCGCTATCAACACACGGCTGTGAGTCGTTAAACATCGGTTGTCGCATGCTGTGCTTGAGTTAATTTGTAGCAACATGCTGTTGCAACTCTCTGCTGCATGCATGCCGGCACGTGGTAGCATCACATGTGACTGCTTGTCTGGCCGTGACTGTGTGTAGC